ATCTGGATGGGTGTGTCAGAGGTGGTGCGGTTGGCGCAGGATAGAGCAGGGTTTAGGGCTGTTGTGCATAGGGTCGCTATGAGTCGGAAACGACTCGACGACACATAACAACAACAACATACCAGAAATAATACAAGTGGATTTCTTTGATATTCTGAAATTTGTTCTTTCACAGATTATGAGGTTAGAAGTAAAAATTCAGAATATTGGTTCTAGGGAAGGGCTTTATTTTTGTAGGACAGCCCTTGTCTTCTTTCAGAATCTACAGACCTGGAATTTATGGTAGAACTCTGTGTTTTCACATCAATCTTTTTCTGGATCTAGGAATTTGATCATGCAGGAAGGCTGCCTCCAAAGGACATACTCTTCTGGATTTTCTTTCTTGGTGATACTATGGTCTCTCTTTGTGTGCTCATTTTTCTGTCCTTGTAGCTACTATGAGATAAAGATATTGCAGACCACATGCCAGGGAACTCTCTTCACATTGATGAGTACTGTGATAATACTAGGGATGTTTCATCCCACCCTAATATTTTTATATCAGATAAGGATCAGGGATGATTATATCAGATCACATTATGAGGGATAATTACATCATTGCATAACTGTCATACTACGCCATTCATTACTTCAGTGTCATGTTACATTATTAAATAACTGCCAAATTACTGAAGATCATGCCTTAGTCAAGTCTGCACATGTTTCAGGGGGAATCAATTCATTTCCTGATAGCTCTCAAAGATTCTGAATTATCATTCCTTAAATTTAAATACCATTGCCTATCAGAAATATCTCCAAAGCATACACCTCCAATATATATCCTGGAGGAGTGGGTAAGACACAACAAGGATTGTACTGAAGAAAATTATAATATGTATTTTATCTAAGGCATTTCCTAAAATTTCCATAAATATCATGTTCCTGAAAAAATACTTAGTAGACTTAAAAAATATAAAATAAATTTGGTAAGAAAACAATTAGACTTTATATCAAAATGCTTCTAGAGATTCTTCTCAATGGTTACACTGATAATCTCTTCATTGAACAAGTCAAAGATGGAAAATCTGGCATAGCCAATAAGAAAGAATGGACATTCGTTTCAACACTTGGGTAGAGTTACTGACCACACAATGAATGTGAATAAACGCTTCATCCAGTGAATTGCTTACCTGGCCAATTTTGCTTTTTAGCCTTTACATGATTAGCTGCAGAAACAGCATAGGAAGATGAGAAGGATCTGCTTTTGGTGAGAGTCATCATGACTGGGTTATTCCAAGAATCAGGGCTAACAGCACTGCAAAAACCAGAAAAAAAAATGAAATGAAGAAAATAATTTATCGATTGTTTGGACAAATTTTGCCAGAATCCAACTATTATTCCCAAAATATAGTTACCATTCTGATTACTGATCAGGTACAGTAACAGAACAACTTTACATATAAAGACAAATACATTTTCTAAACTTAGTCTCTGCTATAGGGATACAGCAGTTATTCTTCAAGATCAAACATAGTAGGTTAACAACATGTTAGGTAATTTTCCTATTCATCCAATAAAAAGTAATCATGCAAATCAATATGTGTACAAGCAAACTTTCTCATTTTACTTATGTAATAATGCCTGTCATAGATTTTCTGAAACAACATGAAAAATAGCCACAGATGAGCTGGTCAAAATACATAATTTATATGTTATTAATGCTGTAAAAATTCCTTGGTGGCTCTCTATTAGTTATTGTTCTTGGTAGATCTATGTTTAAAGATTATATGCTTACAGTGATAATGATCTTTACAGCATTTTTTGGGGGGGGGAGGGAAGGAAAAGTTTAGCAGTAGGTCTTTAAGCTACAATTTATCATTATTGAAGGTATTCTGGGATGACTCAGTCAAATCCCCTTGTTACCCAGCTAATAATGATGAGCCAGATGCTAAATATATCAACAGTTTCATATTAGGAGAATGATGATAAAAATGTTCACCTATGATATACTTTCAGTAAGATATTGTCTTCTTAGATTACATATTATAAGTAAACTTAAAATTAACAGATCTATGGGGAAGGAGGAACAAGCTGGATAATATTAGGTAAATCACGTAATTAAAGGGTTAGAGTCTTTTAAGTTGTTTCCAACCATGATTTCTTTAGATGCATTGCTCAAAATGTTTCATGTTAAATCTGAAATAGAATCCATTTTAATGTGGGAGGGATATTTAGAGTAGTGTGGTGGTAACACTGAACTACTCCAAGAGAAAAGTAGTTGGTCAGTATCTTGCTATTCATTGTGTACTGTAAAGTGGATGCAGCGGGGCTCTCTAAGTGACTGACTATAAATGAAATTGGTGATATCAAGGGATTTGAATGTCTAGAGAATGTTCTTTTAGCTGTATAAGTAAGGGACATAAGTTGAAAATAGTGTAAACCTAAATGCCTCACTGTGTGCAGGCAACATTATGTGTGCATTTTTAAAAGCCCTGCATCTGGAATCCAAAACAGCTTACATGTTCTGATTGAGGAAAGGGGCTTTTAGGTAAGTTGTTATTGGCTGTGCTTTTGGTAATTATTCAATTTAGCACTGGTTATGTTTTGATAGTAACAAGATATTCTGCACTAAATCTGATTTGTCATATTGGTCTCTATAGTACTATTTAATGTCATTTAATTTCAAAGATATTGTACTTCAACTATTGTTGTTACGTGCTGTTGGGCAGGTTCCAATTCACAGACACCCTATTTACAACAGGGCAAAACCTTGCCTGGATCTGCACTGTCTTCACTGTATCTGCTGGGATTAAACCCACTGACACAGCAACTGTTCCTGTTAATCTCACTGAGCATCATCTTCTTTTTCACTACTCTTCTATTTTTCCAAACATGCCGTTCTTCTCCAGGAATTAGCCTCTCCCAATAAAATGAACATAGTAAGCAAGTTTCATCATCTTTATTTCTAAAGAACATTCTGGCTGCAACTCTTCCAAGACAGATATGGTTGTTCTTAATTCTTCATTGATAAAATTCTTCATTGATCTTCCTTATTCAAAGTCCCACTTCACATGCATATGCATCAAGTGAAAGATGGCTTGGAATAGGTACACCTTAGTCTTTAAATTGAACATGATTGCTCTTTAACTTGGAACAAGTACTCTTTTTTTTTTTCTTTTTTTTTGGAGGTAGAAGTATTATTTTATTATTATTATTTCTTGGCTCCACCTTGGCACCAGCAGTTAAGAAATAAAAGACAAAATGCACTGAATAAAAAAAAAATCTGCTGTCAGGACTTCCAGAATACTGAAAAGCAACAACGTCTGTCTAGAGACTAAGGTGTGCTAGATCCAGGCCAAGGTCTTTGCAGTAATTTGCTATGCACCAGAAAACTGGACAATGAACGATGGCAGAAGAGTCAATGCCTTTGAGTTGTGGTGCTGGAGAAGAGTACCAAACATACATACCATGGACTGCCAAGAGAATAAACAGATCTGTCCCAGAGAGGATGAAACCAAGTTTCTCCTTGGCGATAAGGATTTTGAAGCTCCATCTTTTGGAGGGGTGGAGGGATAGCACAGGAGAGGAAGACCAGGGATGAAATGGATTAACACACCTACTGCAGAGTGGAGGTAGGTGTGTCTGAGTCATTGAGACTGCCTGAGGACAGGGCAGGGATCAGAACTATTGTACTCAGGGTTGCTATGAGTTGCAGGTGACTTGAGGGCACATAACAACAAGTGTGCATAAACAAAACTAATCAGGGAGTAAAGAAATAAAGGGAGACAGAACCGGGAAGATCAGATTATAACTAACTCATTCCTTCATAACTTCATCCCTTGCACTGGTGATGGAGAAGAGGGAAAAGCTCTTTCCTGTTGCAGAAATCCCCTGAACTTGTTAAGAGGTGTGTTTGGGTGGCTTCTAGGAATAGAAAAGTGCAGGACCATGTTGGTCCCTTCCAAAAGTCTCAAGAAAGTAACTGTCCCATGCCCTTTTCCTAGTTTCTGGGAGCTCCGAGCATTCTGGGCCAATTGCACTACCATTACAAGTACTCTTTAGTCTTTAAATTGACATCCTCACTTGTTAGCAGTTGGCAGCATTTTTCCAATACAGTATGTCCTTTTGCATATTTTAAACTGCTGTTTTTATGAGAAATGAGACTTATAGGAAGTGAAATCCTTGAAAATGTAAATTATTTTTCTCTCTTTATTGGTTCAGTTGGGAGGATTTTTCTTTTCTTTTGTTTAATCTATATTAAAATTTGCAGCATCTGATCTTAATCAGTAAGTGTGTCAGGCCAGGTTGTATCATTTTTGTATCACAGGTCGCTAATGTGTCTTTCTCCAATGTGAAAGCCATATTATTCTTATATAGTTCAGTTTCTCAGATTATTTTTTCAGCATAGAGATTGAATAAGTATGGTAAGAAGATGAAATCCTGAGGCTCACCTTCCCTCATGTTAAACCATTCAGTATCCCCTTGTTTGTTAGAACTACTTCTTTGTTGATGTACAGACATAGGTATTTAAAAATATCATCTTCCTTTTGTATTTATAATAGAAATCACCACTAGGCCACCAGACCTCCCGTACTTATAATTATCACAGAATAAATTACTCAGCTACATAACTAAAGGGTTACAAGCTATAGACACTAAATTTTATTTGCAATTCTCTCCTGTTTTTGATCAAGCCAGTACCCAAACAGCCTCTTAAAATGGTACTTACTACTGCCACTTAGGAGCCCTGAGGCTCTAGTGAGAAGGAACTGCACTGAACACAAAGGTCCTGCTCTTCTGCAGAAGAGAGATGTGCAATCTCCTGCCATGTGACTCACTGTCTCTGAAAACTTGCTGCAGGGCCAGCTATGGATTGGTTCTGATGCAATAGAACACAACCACCACCACCTACCACTTATGTGTGGTTTACTCGTATAGGGCTCAAAGTCTATTCAAACCGAATTTCATTTCTTCATATTAATGAAGAAATTACATTGTGTTCGTATTTTATATTAGAATATTTTTATAGGACAGTCAAATTAAAGGGATTATAAATAAAGGGCAAAACAATTACTCACACCAAAATCGACTGGAACAAGATACTCAGCTACAAGATTGGCAAAGAAATGCAGAATGCTTAAAGGCTGAATGTAAGATTCTTCAGTACTTAGGGGAAAGAAAAAAGGATTCAGCGTGTGGTCAGATGATAAAATAGGTTGTTTATAAACAAGAATGATTATTTTGCTAGGGCTTTCAAAGTAGACAGGTTTTCTATCATGGAATATTGTTGAACCTATAACATTGAATTCTTTTATGTTTGCTACTTTGTACTACTCTGTTATTATTTCATCC